CATCACAAATTTAAACGAGCTATATAATACGATTTTTTGTGAATTAATAAAACTTCTCATTTTAAAAATCTGTTATGTTTTCTAAAATAATTAAAATATAGGTTTATGAGGTTAAGGAAAAGCTGTTTTCTGTTTTTATTTACATTTTTACACAGCGCCCCAAAGGTTTTGCAACAGGGGTTGTAAAGCCTTTGAGGCACTGTACATTCAGTGAGCGTAGCTTCCCTCTATTCCAAACAGTAACTTTGTGATTCCTGAATGTGACACATTTAGGGGACATCTGTAAATTGTAGGCAGGAAAAATGACCAGGATTACACTCTCTCCAAACAGGGTCTGCTTTAGTTCTAATAATTCTGTCAGTCTACCTTTTAGACCTGCTATTGCACAGCCTTCTTCCTCTCCATCAGAACCTTATCCTCCTGGGAGACCTAATAGCGTGAACCAAAGTGTCCATCATTCATCCAAGTAATGCAACAAATCATTCTTGCAGGTGCATGCCCTCAAATCATATTTTAGTTAACTGACAACAGTTTTCTGCAGTCAGACTGTGAGCATACATCATTCTGTGCAGTAAAGCTCAATCATCTAAGGGAGACTAAAATTCAACAATCAAATGACTTGAATTTTTAAAATAGGTTTTGTAACTTGTCTATCTTTCAAGTCCTCTCACTACATGCTCTATATGCTGCTTCCAATCCACACCAGCTCCCAAGAGCGTGGATACCGTGTTTGACTGTGAATAAATTTAACACACCTGCGTCATCTCATATGATATTTAGCTCTTAAACACCAGGATTCTTTTCATTGCTACTTTTCGCCATCCAGTCTTGTTCTGCGTTTGCTTACGACGTGATGAAAGGTAACTCAAAACAGCTTTACCTATAGTGCAGCAGGAGCAGATTCTGTGAAATGTGGCAGAGTGCTTTGGACCCACGGGAAAGCTGAATGGATGACAACCAAAGCCAGACATGCTCACGAGAGAAAGCAGAACAAACTGGGGAGGGGATCTTGCATCTGCTCTCTTTTACTTCTGCTGCATTCAGACCCGCTGCTCTGGTACAGCACGCACACACTCACACAAACACATGTGCTCTGACTTCCTCACCCAAGTATCTCTATGCTGCGTATGGTTTGCATTGGTTCTGCTGCTGGCTTTTGTAAACACAGCTAACTGGTTGTGTATGTGAGAGTCTGAATGAAAGGCTGCATCTATCTCCGTGCCCCCTTCTACGCCTGCCCCTGTGTATCGCCTGTCTTGCTTTCCTGCCCTTTGACCCGCTTTACTGTATGGGCTGCCAGAACCGCGTGCTCTTGTGTTTAGGTAAATGTCAGACTTGCAGGCCAAAGGTTATGCACTTGCCCAATGATGTTGATTTTATATGTGCTGAGCACAAAGAATGTCTGTGTGTGTTCCCATCACGTCTGACCTTGCTCATTTCCCCCAGCATTCAAAAGCATCTCTTTATTTAAGATATAACTAAAAGCAAAAGTGTATTACTTTATGGAAATAAATGAAGTTTGTGATTCCACTTGAAAAAAGGAAAACAAGTCGAAAGAGTTTTCTTTATCTATTAACTAGCAATACCTGATACCTGTGCAATACCTGTGCAATATTCTACTTCTGGTCCCTACCAATTGTGTGAATCTTCATCTGTTATATGACTGTTGAGTTCACTGCTGTCCACTGAATTTACCTCTTGTGTGGTGCTAAGCAGGTATTGCATTATATGTTTCTCATCCAAATCTGAGACAATCTTAAAAGATGACCATGTTACTGGCTACCAGAATAGCAGAGTTAAGGTCCGGAAAGCTAGCTTAAAGCTTTTCTGTATAGCTACTGAATTTGTGATTTATTGTCTTGTGTTTTTGTCTGCATAGGTGTTTGCCTGCACAGAAACAGGGATTTGGGACTGTGTGTAATGTGTATGATAGAATGGTGATTGTACAGTGGCCCTGAAAGATCAACTTAAAAAAGTCATAAAACAGAAAAAATTGCTGCAAAACACAAAGGTAGTAGAAAAAAAATAAAATGTGTGAGACAGAAGCCAGAACTTGTGAAGGACTGCACAGAAAAGAAGCAGAGGACTCTTCAGTGTGGTGAGAAAGTGCTTTGTTTGCATTATTCATAAAATACTATAGATACATTTTCTAATAGCCGTTTACTATTAGCTTGCGCATCTGTTGTGTTGTGTAATTGTCCTCCCAAAAACATTTATGTTGTGTTTTGGTTATTTGTGTTTTTTCTGTGACCCTTTTTTTTTTTATATTATTTCTGTTGTATTTTATTCAGCTTCTGTTGTGTTTCATATGTTTTTTGCAGAAGTTTTCTATTTGGTGGCGTTTACAGTGTGATTGATGTCTCATCGCGCTTTCATATGATTGGCTGAAAAGCTGGCTAAAATAACTGAGGCATGATCCACAGAGGACTGAGAAAGAACAAATGGAAAGCATCTCTGATTAAATGGCGCAATGGATGTGGTGAAGAGTTGTTGCTGGTTTTACGTCACAACAAAGAAGTTCTCTGTCTGTTGTGACGTCTATGGTTTCTGCAGCAGGGCTTAAGCTAAATAAAGGCCAAAGGCACAAAGATGAGCCCATAGTACAACCTGCTGTTTTTAACAGTAGTGACCTACAACATGTAGATCCGAATTGTACAAGCATGGCAGGACCTTAGAGCGGAGGAAGCTGCAGATTCAAGTCAGTCTGACTGTTTTAGCTTGAGCTTGCCATTTTGAGCAGCTCGTTTAAATTTTCGCATTATCTTCAGATTTTGATATGAGCCATAACTCTAACAGCAGTTTATTTACCGGAACCATGAAATTTCCCTAAACTACGCCCTAGCAGCCTGGTAACCATGTGCAGATAAAAGAGTTCATTTCACAAACATTTGAACAACAAAAAAGCTTTAACAATGAACATAATCTGGGCTTTTGAAGAATGAATCAATATCAGCATTCTTGTGCGGTGATAGAGTTGTGATAGATCATTTTCATTTTAGTTTGCAAAGCTTTATATTTGTGCGGCAGCTCAATTTAACTCGTTAGCTTAGTAGAAGAGCTAAAATCTCAAACGGAAAACAATTCCTGTGTTCAATAAAAGGAGAATGCAGTTATGACTAAATGCTAAATGCATTTAATAAGAGAGCTTGTGAGTAAAATGTCAGAAGATATTAGGATTAAATCCAAGTTTACAAATACTGGAACTTCCTGTAACTCAGAGAAAATAAGATTCACATTTTATGTTCTTTTTCCTAAACAATCACTAAGCAAATCCAGACTGACTATTATTGCTCCATGTGTGGTTTGAGGTGGGAGGGGAGGCAGATTTTTAACTTAAAGGCGGGGGGGGGG